ATGTCTGATATCATGTTCCACACTAGAAGCAGAACATGCGTGAAGGCGCTGCGGGAGACCAGCGCTACGAGGACTAAAGACCACAAGATTCATCTGTTTAAACAGTGTGGTTCACAAGAGTCCTGCCAGTCATGCAGCCACTATCTGTGTGTCTGTTCTGGTGTTTTCATCTTTGTGTAGCTTTGAGACAGTGAGGAGGGTTTCCACCTCTGGGTTGCAGAGTGCAGAGCTTCAGTTGATGCTGGATCATTGTAGGACAAACAGTCAGTGTCACTCTGGCTTGTAAGTCAAGACTTCCTTTTTGTGTGTGAAAATTACTTACCCGTTTTCTCCTTTATGTCCAGGTATCTTGGGGAGGGGAAAGCTTAGAGACTTTTTGTAAATACTTCTGGAAAAGCTGTGGAAGAATGTCTTTTGTATTTGGAGAATCAGACCAGGAGCTGCAGATTACACTGCTGTGGATGTCACTTTTTTAACTGTTTTTTTTTCTCTCACCATTTTCTCTTGTAAAAAATTCCCTGTTTCTGCTAAGAAAGTGCAGCTATTGAGTCCTGCTTCCCTGCTCAGTGGCAAAACCTGAAACTATTGGCTTAAAGTAGTTTGGTCATTCTCCTGACATCAATAAGGCATTTTCACCCAGATACCTGCCACTCACTGGGGATTTTCTCCTTTCTGATATTTTACTAGTAAACCCAGATAACTCAGACCAGCCTGTCAGCCATGTCACATTCAATCACCTTTCTTCCTGATGCTCAGTTTGAAGATGAATGATATAGCAGACCAGTCACTAATAAAATGAGTCAATGAAATGTGGCCAAACCTGAAAATTAGACTTAAAATCTTCCTTTTTGAGAAAGTTTATAATTAGTTTATTTTGGGCATTTCATTTTCGAGCAGGAAGCTCAGAAAACCCCTGGGGTCCGAACAGAACAGTGATCTATTCAAACTGAAGTCAGAAGTCTAAATTTTCAGCTGGAACGCCCCCTCGAGCCAAATGTCTAAATTTGAAGAAGTGGATTCAAACGTCTTGTTAAATTTAAAGATGGGAGTCAAGGGGCTTTAAATTTGGGCACAGTTACAGCTATATGTCCAACAGACAGGGATTTTTCTGCTTCTGTAACAGACTCTTCTAAATGACAGATTCTGAAGGTAAAATCTTTATCCTTTATCATCACGGGTCTAGGAAACAGGCCAGACAGAGCAAATACATTTTTCTGTGTGCTCATTTTTCCAGTTTTGTTTGATATTATACAGCACGCTGATAAAAACCAAAGTTGTGCATCAATGAGCACGTGCAGCCTCTCTCATCAAGTCAGGCAGTGTGAAGCAGGTAATGTTAGACATGTTCATCTGATGGAAAGGAACGAAAGAGACAGAAAAAAGAGAAATTACGAAGTTAAATTAAGTTAGTTTGGGTCAGTTTGACGTAGCTGCAGCTCCTGATAAGTTTCACTGAATATGTGTGAGTAGGTTTTTTCTTGTATTGTTTCTTGATGCATTAGTTTAAAAACATGTAAACACTACAACACTGATGAATTAAATTGACTAAAGTTCAAATATATATGCATTATTATTCCTTATCATAGATTAATTTGTGTTTATGTAAATATTTTCTCAAACAAGTAAAAAATAAAGTTTGGTTCCAGAGGAGATCTGTAGAGTTAGACCAGGATCTCTGAGTTTAGGGTTTCACTACAGTTAAATTCAATATCTTCATAAATTCATAAAAGTTACACAGTACATGTTGGAAAATAATACCAAAACCTGTATAGTGCATTATAAGATACTACAAAACAACAACAATACTGCATTTCGTTGCCTTTTACTTGTGACATGTGCAATGACAATAACTCTATTCTAGTCTAACAACAAACAAAGTAAAACTCCTGTGCCGTTGTATTTGAATGTCTGTGTGTCTCTGTGAGTTAGTCATGTGACACAGTGGTGACCTGTCCAGGTCTGCTTCTGGATGGAGGGTAATAATATTTTAAAAACAAACAGACAAATAATGCAGAGCTGCACCTCACAGTGTGTACTGACGATGTTTTCGCACCCAGCTGTGTTTTGTTCCTCTGGAAAGCCACATGTGGGACAAGCACAGGACAGTGAGTGATGGCTCAACATCATCAAAGGCCATGACTGGATCATCAACTCGCAGAGCTCTGGACACAAATATCCACTGCGACCTTTCTTTCTTCAATAATTAGTAATTAATAATAGTAGGAATGTGTACATACATGAATTCAAAGTACTTCTAAATGGAGGGCACTGCGTATCACAATACAGCTCCAATAAAAGCTTTAAAGCAAATAATAAAGCCAAGAAAATCTAATCAAGCCCAAACAATCTTTAATCTTTACTCAGATTAAAATACAAGAGAAAGTGAAGTCAAGGTCAAATGTATTTATATACTATGTTCAAAACAACAGAGCTGATCACTGTGCTCTACATTCAAAATAAATAAAATCCAGAAAAAGTGAGAACAGCAAACAACATTAAAAAAACAAACAAAAAGAAAACATTCACAGCTTCAGATTAAAATACAAGAGAGATACACTAAAACTACAATAAAAGTATCTGACATTAAATGAATCATGATGCAGCCAGAGCTTTTTCATGTTTTTATACCAACTAATTATTTTTTTACACAATATAGATCTTTACACTCAGACAGTAAAAGTATTTGTGGGTGTTTATACCAGGACTTCCTAATGCAACTCTGCTGACTTTAAGTTGCTGCTATTAGTTACTAAAAATCACAGACTTTTTTCTCTGTGGAACAGGATACATTCAAAGTTTTATACAAAAGCTCAACAATGA